TTCAGGTAGGGCCGCAACTGGCGCACCAGGCGAACCTGGGCAAATGCCCCCCTGGTCACAGCTGAGAGATGGTGCCTGGTGGCATGACTGCACTCTGAACACACATGCGGCTCTCCTATGGTATCTCGATAATGTGCTAAGATTTCGCTTAAATGATCTTCCTCTGAGAAGTAGAACAGCAGATGCTGGGGGGTGGGAGAGATGAAATTTATATTTTAAGTCAAAATTCATTGCAGCCCTTGTTCTTACACCAAGCACTTTGCTGCTGAGTAGTCGTTTTTCTTGATTGCCCCTTTCATCTATGGAACTGCCAAAATGCCTCTGGTGGACACAAAATGAAAAAGGAGAGGGTGAATTTATTTATTTATTGTCCTGCCTTTATTATTTTATATTACAATTATGGTATTCCTTGTATTGCGATGTTTCTCCACCTCCTTTCAACCATATTTGTAATTACAAACTTGCAGTTTTAGTGCAGCGGGTGAGTTCAGCCGGTCTTGTTGGCACAACAGTTATTGAGGTTTCAGAATTGTATGAGGCAAATTGTCAGTGAAATAAATTACAAAATACCTCTGCTATCAAAATTGAGCACAAACTGCAGTTTGCTTGAATCCTGGAATTAAGTTGTTTCCATTGCAAAAGAAAGCACAAATAATTTATCTCAAATTTGTAACACTACAGATCACTGCATTTTTAATAAAGGATACCGTTGTGCATGCTTTGTCGTATCCCCACAGTCAATCCATACAGCCTTGGCATTATGAATATTGTGCCCTACTAGAGTCATGATATGGTAAATAAGCAAATACTGCAGCTTCACATCTAAGTGGTACTTAGCTTTTCTATTGCTACTTGCCCTTTTGTAATGCTCATTTTACTAAACAGTTCCAAGATCTATTGCAAAGAACAAAAGAGAAATCCAATATTTAGCTTTTCTTTAATTAATGCATTTGTAGCACTAATCCAGCACCCGGTTGTGAGGGTTGTAAATTCAGCCCTGTGTTTGATGAGGGGTGAATCGTGGTTTTTCCTTGGAGTATACTCTATGATTAAGTAAAATAAACCCGAGGTATATTCTAAGAAACATATTTTTATTATAAAATAAATAACCAACAAACTTACTGGCTAATAACTACATTCTGGTAAAGTTCCTAGCCTCCTCGTGGCAAGCAAACAGAAAGAGAAAGAAAAGACAAAAGGACATGGGTAGTAGGCTCACAGAGAAGAGGCAGTCTACCGTATGTCTTAGAATATAGGCACAGCTGGCAAAACAAAAAAACATTATGACACCGGTGACCATTTTTTTCAAAGGCTGTAGTTGAAGCTACAAGATCTCAGAACCACTGATCTATATCTTTCAGAGATCCTGGAGCACCGGGGAANAAAGAAGGGAGTCAAGCTATTCTCCAAAGCACCTGAAGGCAGGACAAGGAGCAATGGATGGAAACTAATGAAGGAGAAAAGCAACCTAGAAATAAGGATAAACTTCCTGACAGACCAGTCAGAACAATAAACCAGTGGAACAACTTGCTTCCAGAAGTTGTTGGTGCTCCAACACAAGAGATTGGACAACCACGTCTGGAATGTTAAAGGGTTTCCTGCTTTTAGCAAGGGACTGGAACTAGAACGCCACCAAGGTCCCTTCCAACTCTGTTAGATAGTCCTCGACTTATAATGGTTCACTTAATGACCGTTTGAATTTAGGGTGGTATTGAAAAAATGAGTTATGACCATTTTTCATAATTATGACCCTTTCAGCATCTCTATGGTCATGTGATTTACATTCAGATGCTTGACAACTGACTCACATTTATGACTGTTACAGTGTCCTGGGATCATGTGATCCCCTTTTACGACCTTCTGACAAGCAAAGTCAATGGAGAAACCAGATTCACTTAACAACTATGTTACTAATTTATCAATTGCAGTGATTAACAAATGCAGCAATAAAAGTGGTAAAATGTGTCAAAACTCACTTAACAAATTTCTTACTTAGGTGTATAAATGTTGGGCACAATTGTGGTGATAAATTGAGAACTATCTGGATTCTGTTATTCTTTCAAATAGGAGTCAGCTGCCCAGCCGCCAAAATTGGATCACGTGACCGCTGCAACGGTCTTAAGTGTGAAAAACGATCATGCCACTTTTTCTCGTGCTGTTGTAACTTCGAATGGTCACTAAGCGAATGGCTGTTACTCAACGACTATCTCCAATACAAAAAGTGAAGCAGTCCGTGCACAGAAGTCAGAGTCACAGGCCGCTGAGCGGCGTGTGTGCGTCTGAAATGAACGGCCCTTGCGAGACAGCCCTCTAGAGGCCGCGAGGGGAAATGCACAGCGTTCACCTCCGCAGCTCCGGGGCCGCCCTCATTCCGCGCGGGAGGATGTCGTCCCACCCTCTTCTTCGCCGATTGGCCTTCGTTAACTCCTCCCCTCCCCCTTTGTCCCTCAGGCCAGCCCGGAGGAGCACGCGCGTATGGAAATCCGGCCTCCTTCGACCGGAAGCCGCCTCCGGTTGCCTTGGCGACGACGCGACGCCCCTCTCGCCGCCTCTGGACGCTGGCAGGGGCTTCTTTCTGCCTTCCCGCCATGTCGCTGCGGACGCTGCCGCTGCTCGTCCTGAACCTGGGCGGGGAGATGCTGTACATCGTGGACCAGCGGCTGCGCGCGCAGAGCATCCCGGGAGACAAGGCGCGCCAAGGTCAGGGGGCCGCTGGGAGGGGCCCCGAGAGTGCAGGCCCCGTCGCCTCCCCTGCAGCGCCTTTGCTGGTGCCCATCCGATCTTGATTTGTTTGCCATAGTAATAAAGTGCGCAGTGAAAGTGGGATTAGGCCATATTTGTTCTTGATGATGAAACCTCTTAGCGCTGTGGTCGACCTTTGTCCCTGGACCCGGTTGGAATCGGGCCCAAGGGGGGAAAGCAGGGAGACCGAGGAGCTTCTCTGTCCCCTGCAGGCTCCTCCCGAGCCCGAGGAGCGTCTTGCCTCCTAGGCTTTTGGAGAAGGGCCCCTTCTGCTCTCAGGCAAGAACAGCTGGGGTTCACTTTAAGAGGTATTATTACTCTCTGTGTGTATCAGAAATGGAGCCGTGGGTGTGAAAGTGAACTAGAGAAACCAAACACCAAGATGAGAATAAATCAGCTCACATGCGAATGGCGGTGGCTAGTAGGAAGACCTTCACACACACACACCGGGTTCAAATGTAGAATAGAACAGTGTTTTTCAACCTTTTTTGTGCAAAGGCACACTTTTTTCATGAAAAAAATCACGAGGCACACCACCATTAGAAAATGTTAAA